TGTAAGTACACATTGATGGCCTAAGACACGAAACGAGTGGTTTGTGTGAGAAAACGAACAGTATTTATATCGTTTTTACCTCTTGTAACCACAGCCACGTCCAAGTGATCTGAGGGCACGGGCGCTTTGTGGCTAGAGGTAAAAACGATATAAATACTGTTTGTTTTCTCACACAAACCACTCGTTTCGTGTCTTAGGCCATCAATGTGTAGTTACATTTACGAGTCATTAAATCATGTTTAATTTGGACTTCTCTGTGCATGCTCTTTGAGGTGGTGACCATAGACTTCCATTATATGACTGTCAGACAAGAACGGTTTGACCTAAAATTATCAAAACTGAAACTACTGCGGAAACAAAGACACCGACTTGATGCCCTTGAGGTAAGCTTAAACCTACCACAAATTAATTTCAAAGTGAACCATCCCTTTAAGTACACTAAATTTGCATTGAGATTTAACGTAATCATAAGTTTTAGTTCAATTAATTCCAAACAGTCTGACAGACTGATTTCAAAAAGTAACTGTTTGAACGATTTATTAAACAAAGTCATTTGTTCGTGAATCACAAAACGCTGGTTGCATTACACTTTTTTTCACTAAAAAAAAGAATCCGCTCATATGAGTCATTTGCTTGTGAATCACACATTGGACATGCAGGATGGAGAAATGGGTTTTCTTTGATTTTTTTTTTTTAAATCTAATATCACATTCAACTCTGAAACGGCAAAGTCCCATTCACAGCTCGGGTAAACTAAGCAATATCCCACTGACATATCTATCGAAAGAAGGAGGACTATTGCATTTTTACATCTTCTCTTTGTTATTTCATACTCAATCTACTCTGTATTGAACAGCCAAGTATTTTTAAGCTGGCATCCGTTCAGGCCTGAACATGTGCACATTAAAGAGCAGGGCAACGGAGCCAAAGATCAATTACACTCATATTAAAGAGGGCCGGGGAAATAAAGGCACAGGAGCTGCCGGCTTGCGCTCGGTTATTTCTGTTAGATCAGGTTAAGCAGAAAAAAAAAGCAACAACCAATTTCAGGTGGAAGGTGGATGTGGGGAGGAGGGGTAATGAGAGAGCAGGTGAACAACCGCTTTCAATCACAAAGAAAAGAGGAAAAGAACAAGTAAAATAGAACGAAGCGAAGACAATAAAGACAAATGTATAACTGGATTCACATTCCCAGATGGAAACAGCAATTGTTACAAAGGCAGCAAAAAATAGTCAAAGCTTTAAAATGTAAGTTTAGGATTTGAGCATCCGATATTTGTATTTGTGAATAAACGTGATGATGCAATGTTAACTTTTCAGAGCTATGTAGTTAAATAGATGCTAGAAAGAAATAAACGCATTATGCAAATAACCACAAGAAATAAGATCAAATCCCAATTCAGCCATTTTGTGTTAAATCTTCAAATCTTACATTTCTTAAGTATAAAGTTTCTAAACTAAATAACAGGCTGAATTTTTAGGGCTGGGCAACGATTAATCGCGATTAATTGCATCATCCAAAATAAAAGTTTGTGTTTACATAATGTAGTGTGTAAAATTATTTTGCATATATAAATACACACACATGCATGTATATATTTAAGAAATATTTACATGAATATATACTGTATATATATATATATATATATATATATATATACACAGTATATTTATACATAATTTATATTAAATATAAATATTAATATTTTATATATTAATAACAATTTTTTCTTAAAATTTATACATGTATGTGTGTGAATTTTAAAATACAAAATAATTATACACAGCACAGCACACACACATATATTATGTAAACACAAACTTTTATTTTGGATGCGATTAATCGCGATTAATCGTTGCCCAGCCCTAGAAATTATTTTCACAAAAATTTAATATTAGTTTGATAAGCAATTCAAGCGAAACTAAGAGTTTTAATCAATTGCTGCCTTTCAAAAAATGTTGTAAAAAAATCAACAGAAACCATGTCAGCTTTAGACACTGTTGAATGATGCGCTCAGAATTTCCTTTTCTTTCCTTACAATTAAGTCACCCGAAAAATCACACAAGCTCCACTAGTTGACGTGACATGATCAGCACCGGAGCACATGCTTTCTGTTGCAGTGAATTTGCTCCACATAAGGGAAAAAAGGGCGCGCAGAAGAACGAGGAGGAAAGGAAAACAGACGAACGTGCTAGTTCTCTCTTCTGAAGCCTCTGTGAGTCCCGAGGTCACATTGGCGAGCCTTAACGAGGGTAATTGCTGTCGATGCGCAGGGGCCATGTACAGAACTGGGTCACGGCCACGATCATTTGAACACACACCGTCTAAATGTGTATGTCACAAATTTCCCTGCTAAACCACCAACACAAGGGCTGCATGAATGAAGTCAACATGAAATCAAAACTGATTGAGCCTATTTCTTAAAACATGGTTTTGGTCTGATTCATCTATACACATTCTCTGAAGCAGCTTTCCTAGGCTGATGCCAGCAAGGCCGCTTAAATTTCAACCAACTAGCTAGTCTCCTAAAATTTACAACAAACTCGGGTGTGGAATTGCCACAAAAAAACTCCCAATGGATAAAGCCAAATACCGTCCTATTAAATATCCTTTTACTTAGAAATATTTCATGTTACAGAAGTAAAATAGGTTGCGAAATGCCATTTCACACTGCAAAAAAAAAGTTTCTTCAGGTCTCGCAACAATTAAATTAACTAGAGACTAGTCTGGACTAAATCATTCAAGAAGTCTGGCATACATCAATTTCGCCGGAAGGTCCAGTTATACATATTGATTATACATAAAAAGTATAAACAGGCATTTAAAAAACAGAAGGTGAATTTCCATTTCATGCTGACAATAAGGGCCAGATCAGGTTGAAGAAATTCTTTAAAGTAGTAGTTCACTTTAAAAAAATTTTTACTGATAAATTACTCACCCCCATGTCATCCAATATGTCCATTTCATTCTTTCTTCAGTCGAAAATAAAATAAGGTTTTTGATAAACATTCTAGGATTTTTCTCCTTATAATGGACTTTAATGGAAAGTTGGGAACCAAACGGTTCAAGGTCCAAAAGACAGTTTCAGTGCAAACTGAAAAGTGTTCAAAAGGCTTTTAACGATTTCAGACAACGAATAAGGGTCTTATCAAGCGAATCGGTCATTTAAAAAAAAAAAAAAAAAAAAAAAGTTTAAGTTTTATAAGCACAAATGCTCGCCTTGCTCTGTTCTGTGATGCGCGTTTGTGACTCTCCTGTTCGAACTCAGTCATCAAAATGAACAAATCTTTTTTCATGTCATTTGGTTGATTCAACGAACGAAATGAACGAATTGACTCGGAAAAAGATTCGTTCATTTTGATAAACGAGTTCAAACAGGAGAGTCACGAACGCGCATCAGAACAGAGCAAGGCGAGCATTTGAAATTGAGCTTATAAAACTTTTTATTAAATGAGAGATCGTTCCGCTTGATAAGACCTTTATTCATCGTCTTGAATCGTTTAAAGACGATGAACAGTTTGCAGTTTGCACTGAAACTGTCTTTTGGACCTTGAACCGTTTGGTTCCCATTGAAGTCCATTATATGGAGAAAAATCCTGGAATGTTTATCAAAAACCTTAATTTCTTTTCGACTGAAGAAAGAATGACATGGATATCTTGGATGACATGGGGGTGAGTAAATTATCAGCAAAAGTTTTTTTTTTTTAAAGTGAACAACTACTACTTTAAAGTCATCACGAAATCAGAATTTACCCTATTTACTATTTACTAGTATTGTGTTGAACAAGTAATCCGTGCAGGTTAATACACAGAAAAACATGGCATTCCTTCACTGATGATGTCAGTTTGACGGCTTGGCTTGAATCTCCTCAACCGCTTTCCTCCAACCATCAGTCTTCTATGAGCGAGGGGAGGTGCGCTAAAGTAAAACCCCGCCCACTATTCAATATTCCGTTTCACTTGGACATACGCCACAACACTGAAGTAAACTCGGTTGCAACTTCCGAACTTTAAAGTAAAGCAAGTCAAAGTGCATGTTGACTAGAAACCCAAAACATGATGAAAAAGGCCTTTTCTAATCACCCCCCCACCCTGTTTCTTCAAGCAAATGTGCAGTTGTGTGTGTTTATGTTCAGCAACACAAGCCTCTGGTAAACACGATCATTATCTCCCCAATCTAAACAAGCCTTTGCTTTCCCAGAACACACTGCTCTATAAGCAATGAGGTGATTAAGGAGAAGGCAGTGGACGAGGACCGCTACTAGCAAAGAACCACAGCCTGCATTGAGGACATTACACTACAGGTGATGCAAACCCCAATGGCTTGAAATAATGATGCATCCTTTTTAATCTTCATGTTACAGCTCAAAAACACATGCTGTATTAAAACGGCTCGGCTGAATGGATGGTGCCAAGTTGTTGTCCCATCACACAGACAATGAGAACTGAAGTAATGCAAAAGCCTTGCAAATAACACCATATTCAATAGTCTAGAAGAGTTAGCCAAAAACGTGATGAATGAATATGCTACCATATGAATATGAATAATGCTCAAACAGCATGTCTGCTCAAAGACTTTTTTCATCCAAACCACAAACCACTACACGTGGCGTGAACAATCTGGTTTTAAATTGCATTCAACAAAGCATTCAGTGTACGTTTCACCTGAAATATGTAATACTGTGCCACAGCTGAGGTCAATATTAAAACCAAGAGCCCCAAAATTGTAATAGCGACTATCTATTTCTGTCTGACCCTAGTAGACCATTATGCTATTAAAGATATCTCGTGTCGGATGCATTTCAAATTGCTTATTCAGGACCAAACACCATGATAGAGATATGAGGCTAGTGCGATACTGCGAGGAAAAACATACTCTATGAATTAATGCATTGTTTCCATTTCAAAGTGAGCATCAAATAGAATAGCTTGAAACTAAATTGAATCAAAACCACAAATAGAATGTATAAAGAAAAACTGCATTTCTGGGACAACTCACATGTGCACGTGTGGCGGTTGAAAGCGGCTCTGGTTAATGTTGTAGTGGGTGAAGGCCTGTGTGGGGTTGGAGCTGTACTCGTCCACCGAGATGGTCACTTTTCCTTGTGACGGCATTCCGTGGGCCATTCTTTCTCCACGTCACACATGAGAGAGACACTTCACCAGGACCCTGGAGCGACCCACGCAGTCAGCATCCTTCAGAACCACCACTTAAACACGGAAAAGAAGAACCCTTGATAGTGCCGAGGAGGAGGACAAGATACTATCTGTAAAGAAAGAGCGAGAGGAAAAGATTATGATGAGAAATTAATTGCTGTATGAGCGATACGGAAAAAAAGAAAAGATTTTAAAACAAGGACCAACATGGAAATGAGCAAATAACTACACCATTTTAATTATGTGCAAGATTTGCTTTGTGGAAAGTCTTATTATTTAAGGGTTTTATATTCTTTACATGTGGATTGCTTTTAATACATACACTGTGCATTTGTTACATTAAACAGCTTTTTTCTACTTGAAAAAATGATTTTTGTAGGTGTTGTCAGGTCATATTTTTGACTTGAATAAAACAAGTTAATAAAATGTAACACAATTAACAAAAAAAATCCTAACAGTGGATTTCAATTTTATTTTCTAGAATACATCTGCTTAAATGTCTGTTTTCAGGGAAACATCTCATTTCTAATTATAGTTTATTATATTTTTCATAATATTTCCACTTGATAAAACTGAAAAAAATTATGCTGTAATGATGTCACTCTTATTCTGAAAAACAAACGCACACAAATTAAAAATTCATGATCACTCACAGTTATAAACCTGACTGAAACCTAAACATAATGTCTAACGACAGATGAATCTTATAGTATTTATGATCCAAAACAAATCAATTAAATTGAGCAAAAGCTTCGAGACAAAAACAAAACAAAAGAAAATGCTGAGAAACAGAAAGGTGAGCAGTTCACATCTTCCGCTCTTTAGCCATATGGAGGGCCAGTTAACTATGACCAACCCCTGAACTACTCCATCCAACCCTCTCAAAACCACTTTCATTCAATTACTCAAAATGATGTGTAAACATGTTTACTTTAAAAAACTGTGTAGTATATCGCTGTCAGTTTGTATTTTATTCTTTGGACGAAAAAAAATATATAGTCAATATATATATATGGAAAAAAATACAGAGATTCATTATTTTACTATATAAATAAAAGCAGCAATAATCACTGAATTTGCTCACCTGCCACAGAGAATGTTTTTGAGTTTCTTATGAAATAGCCTACTGGTTTACAGCTCAAGATTAGCTTTGACACCTTACTCTTAATGAGGCAACCCATTATCTCACATCCTAAAGAAACGAGTTAAAAGTGACGCTGGTCTCTCCATGTTATCTGTACCAGCCAGACAAGTGCAAAAATCACATTCACATTATTCTACTTAATATATAAAAATATATAATATGTAAAGGACTGGAGGCATTTACCTGTTAAAATGTGATGCAAATTAATTCTGAATGACTTATTTTGTTCTTTTTTTAAATTTATCAACCATTTTTGCATCTCATACGAGTCTTGTTTTCCTGTCCTCTGTTCAATATTTCTGTAGCTTTACTACATATTATTATTAGCCTACCTATTATTTTGCAAAAAGCCTAAATATTTCACTTTTTAATTCAACAGTAACAGACTGCATACTTGTGTTTACTGTAATCTACAGTACTGTACTAATGACACCACAAATGACAAAATAATTTGAATAATTAAATTACTATTTTAAATAGTACTATTAAATGACTAAAGTACTATCATATACATTATACGGTATGCTCTAACTTAAGTTTAAAAAAAATAGTATGGAATACAGCATTTTCCTGTCACGTATATAACATTTAATTAACTTGTTTTACGCCAAACTCTTTACACTAATTTAAACATAACTCCACATAATGAACCAATTTGTTTCATGTAAAAAAAAACAACAGTTTTTGAAAATGCCCAATTTTGCCTAAAACTATATTCATCCTCAGTACTCCACATATGCAAAAAAAATCGCTTTCCTAACCTCAGCTAGCAAGCAACCACTAGCTTAGCTGCGTAAAAACCTGCAGTTGCGTTTAATATATAACGTCTACATACGCGCGTGATATTTATTTGCGCTCAACTCTACTGCTTCCGGCTGAACAATGCGAGGGAACGATCAAAATAAAGGTTGGAAATCATGTCTCAAGTGCAGGCTACACTCTTTAGAGAGAGAGAGCAAAAGAGATCAAGTTGAACCTACATCACCCCGACTACAACATCCCCGACATTTCGAGTAAAAACACGCAAACTCGTGTGTAAATGTGTCTAACACACTCGCCGAGGAGGGTGATCGTTCCCCGGGTGAGTGGCCGCGCTGACACCGCCGTTCAATGACAAGCCACCTCTAACCCTTTTGTGTCTTTCTTTCTTTCTTTTTTTCTCTCGCTCCCTGTCTAAACGTAACATTTACAAGCTGCATAACACACAAGAAGAGGATGAAAGCGTCTCTTTCTCTCTCGCCCACCTCTAAAGATGTTGCTCCATGCACGCCGGGGAATGCAGATGTCGATAGCCGAAGAGGTGGCACTCGGAGCCGGGCAGGGGCAGGACCCTCGACCCTGGGAGACCCTCCGGCGAGCTGACGGAGACACGCGGGAAAAGCAGCACAGGCAGGCGGCGAGCCTCGCTCTGACTGGCGGAGAGGGGGAGTGAGTCTAGACCGCAGTGAAGGAAGAAAGGACTGCCACTGGGGTCAGAGAGCAGCGACGAGAGCATAGCCTCCGTACTAGCATGGCGGAGCGAGTATGTGTGTGTTAGTGTGTGTGTGGTTACTCCTCCCCTCCCTCAAAAGAGTCTGCCATGATATGCGTTCACACGTGGAGAGGAAAGACCCTCTTCTGCTCCTTATTTTCGCGTCTTTCTGCAGCGTCCTTTGTTTTGAGGGTTACATTTTATTGCACTGTTTTAAGCAAACCTAAGAGGTACCTTGAGGAAGTGATAATTTAGTTTTCATTTTAAAGAAGACACTATGATTTGCTTTACACTGTGTGGTAGAGCCATGTGTCTGGCTTTGTTTATGTCAAAATCAAGTGGTGTTTGCAAAGTTATCCACAGTCACATTTTCCACACTGCTCTTTGTGTGTCATTTCTGGTCCCTTCTGTCATTTAATGTTGAAAATATGTAACAAAAAAAGCACAAGAGTTATTTCAATATCCCAACACTCTATGTTAATGGTAAAAGGTGAACAGATAATTGAACCCTCTTTTCATTGGATACAATTATTTCTGATCTGAAGTCAGAATGAAAAGGAAATTGTCAGGAGTCTTTTCTTCTTATTGTGATATATCTGAGTGAAATGGCATTTCGAACAAGAAAAAATGTAGGGCGGGACTTGATTTTTTTTTCATGGGAAATTGATTGGATGGTTGTGGTTTGCTATTGGTCGAACTCATGTGAGTTACAGGTTGTTCTGCACTCACACCATGTACACGTGTCATCAGAGAAGAAAAGTCGCTGCAAGTTATTTTGATCAAAGATAATGAGGGCAGATTAATTTAAAATACATCAAATGATATGCACAGATACATTATTTTATGATAATCACTGCAATATTCCATAAAAGTAATAATAGTCCATTTTGATTTCATGGTGACTTTAATTTATAACACCATTTTAGGACACGCATTATGCGAGTGGCAGGTTCAGTTTGTTGGACTTCCAGGTGTCAGAATAATATATAGATTTAAAAAAAACGACTTCTGCTGAAACTCAACTGTGTATAGGAGTGTGAGAGAAATTAGTGTAGGCAGAGCTCTAAAGACCATTTTATCTGACATTTGATTTAGAAACTTTATATGGGAATGTTTTTGATTTTTTTTCAAGTTGAGACAATCTTTTGAAAAGTGTCAATTGCTTTTTAGATGTTTAAGTGGTCTGTACATAATTTGAAAATGAGCTGTATAATTAGCACGCAAGAGCATTGAAATTTGATTATTTGAATTATTTAAAGAGTTTTAATTAAGGATTTTAATTATACAGTTTAGGTAACTTTGTGACCCAATTTATCTAAAATTTGATTCAGAAACTTTATGTGTGTATATTAATATATATTAGATGTTCAGTAGTGCTTTGTAAATATAAACCTTATAATTTGTGGCAATAAGCATGTCGGCTTTTCCTATTCAACATCAGAAAAATTATTTGCCCTTACCTTGGAAAACTCAAACCAATCAAGTCAGTGCTAATTATTGTTGTGGCAAAATCATTTGCAGTGATTGAATATTAAATCTGAAAATAAAATAAGGCTCCAATCTTACCTGGCAGCCATTTCAGATCAAATGGCATATCCAAATTAAAGTCCTTATTGTCTCAAAAAATTCTGACAGGGTTAATTCAAAAATATTAATTACTCAGAATGAAAGCATTTAATTTTGCATTTAGTTTTGTGTGCATTTAGTTACCTGTGTCCCACAAAAAGGTGGATCTTTGAAATGTGGATTTTTCACTGTTTCAATATTCACAAACCCAGACACTAATGCAGACAAACCACTCACAACTAAACAACATTTCGATTTGACTATTCTCTAATCTCTGGAAAATGTGTTTTCATCGACTAGCCAGCGGGCAATAACGTGAAGGCAGGGTGGGAATTGTATTTGCGGAGAGCGCCGTTAAACACTGCACCATCATTTTTTCCCCTGCCCGAGAGAGAGAGAGAGAGAGAGAGAGAGAGAGAGATGATAGATACAGCTTCAAATGTCACTGAAGAAATGGCCTCTGACATGAATGTTTTATTCAGTCTCCTTCCCCTGATCACATCTATACAATAGAAAATGTAAATGTTATGCAGAATGCTTAAAAAATTCACTATATATTTTATGACCTTCTATAAAAGAGGGGCAAAATGACTCCATGAAAATGATAATGGAATAAAAGCCATATTAACTGGGAGGCTGGGATAGGTTCTGTGTTGACGAGAGGTGGATGATTTTCACTTAACCCAAATCTAGCAGCAGGGGCATGAGGGGCTCTCGGATAGATTGCTATCCCCACACAAACAGTCACTCACACAGCTTTTTGATGATCACACACACACTCTTGAATAGGAAATCAGAACCAGAGACTAATCAGAAAACTAGAGACCAAGAGAAAAATAAACAATTGGATTTCATATTGCACTGTATGACGTTCTGAATTAATTTCAGTCAAAAGGATACATTTTTTAAAGCAACACCAAGTAACTTTTCCTCTGCGGTCGCCCTACAGGCTGGAAGCGGAATTGTCCATTACCGCTGTCGTACATCATTTAGCCTTCCGAAGCCTACTGTCGCACGCACACTCGTTGTTTATCGTAATAATTTAGCCTTCCGAAGCCTACTGTCGCACGCGCGTTCGTTATTTATCGTAATAATTTAGCCTAACGAAGCCTACTGTCGCACGCGCTCACGTCGTTTATCGTAATAATTTAGCCTTCCAAAGCCTACTGTCGCACGCGCACTCGTTGTTTATCGTAATAATTTAGCCTTCCAAAGCCTACTGTCGCACGCGCACTCGTTGTTTATCGTAATAATTTAGCCTTCCGAAGCCTACTGTCGCACGCGCTCACGTCGTTTAGCGTAATAATTTAGCCTTCCGAAGCCTACTGTCGCACGCACGCTCGTTGTTTATCGTAATAATTTAGCCTACCGAAACATACTGTCGCACGCGCTCACGTCGTTTATCGTAATAATTTAGCCTTCCGAAGCCTACTGTCGCACGCGCTCACGTCGTTTAGCGTAATAATTTAGCCTTCCGAAGCCTACTGTCGCACGCGCACTCGTTATTTATCGTAATAATTTAGCCTTCCGAAGCCTACTGTCGCACGCGCTCACGTCGTTTAGCGTAATAATTTAGCCTTCCGAAGCCTACTGTCGCACGCACGCTCGTTGTTTATCGTAATAATTTAGCCTTCGGAAGCCTACTGTCGCACGTGCACTCGTTATTTATCGTAATAATTTAGCCTAACGAAGCCTACTGTCGCACGCACACTCGTTGTTTATCGTAATAATTTAGCCTTCCGAAGCCTACTGTCGCACGCACGCTCGTTGTTTATCGTAATAATTTAGCCTACCGAAACATACTGTCGCACGCACACTCGTTATTTATCGTAATAATTTAGCCTTCGGAAGCCTACTGTCGCACGTGCTCACGTCGTTTAGCGTAATAATTTAGCCTAACGAAGCCTTCTGTCGCACGCGCACTCGTTGTTTATCGTAATAATTTAGCCTTCGGAAGCCTACTGTCGCACGCACACTCGTTGTTTATCGTAATAATTTAGCCTTCCGAAGCCTACTGTCGCACGCACACTCGTTATTTATCGTAATAATTTAGCCTTCCGAAGCCTACTGTCGCACGTGCTCACGTCGTTTATCGTAATAATTTAGCCTTCCGAAGCCTACTGTCGCACGCACACTCGTTGTTTATCGTAATAATTTAGCCTTCCGAAGCCTACTGTCGCACGTGCTCACGTCGTTTATCGTAATAATTTAGCCTTCCGAAGCCTACTGTCGCACGTGCGCTCGTTATTTATCGTAATAATTTTGCCTAACGAAGCCTACTGTCGCACGCACACTCGTTGTTTATCGTAATAATTTAGCCTTCCGAAGCCTACTGTCGCACGCGCACTCATCGTTTATCGTAATAATTTAGCCTTCTGAAGCCTACTGTCGCACGTGCGCTCGTTATTTATCGTAATAATTTAGCCTAACGAAGCCTACTGTCGCACGCACACTCGTTGTTTATCGTAATAATTTAGCCTAACGAAGCCTACTGTCGCACGCACACTCGTTGTTTATCGTAATAATTTAGCCTTCCAAAGCCTACTGTCGCACGCACACTCGTTGTTTATCGTAATAATTTAGCCTAACGAAGCCTACTGTCGCACGCACACTCGTTGTTTATCGTAATAATTTAGCCTTCCAAAGCCTACTGTCGCACGCACACTCGTTGTTTATCGTAATAATTTAGCCTAACGAAGCCTACTGCCGCACGCACACTCGTTGTTTATCGTAATAATTTAGCCTTCCGAAGCCTACTGTCGCACGCGCTCACGTCGTTTAGCGTAATAATTTAGCCTTCCGAAGCCTACTGTCGCACGCACGCTCGTTGTTTATCGTAATAATTTAGCCTACCGAAACATACTGTCGCACGCGCTCACGTCGTTTATCGTAATAATTTAGCCTTCCGAAGCCTACTGTCGCACGCACACTCATTGTTTATCGTAATAATTTAGCCTTCCGAAGCCTACTGTCGCACGCGCTCACGTCGTTTATCGTAATAATTTAGCCTTCCGAAGCCTACTGTCGCACGCGCACTCGTTATTTATCGTAATAATTTAGCCTTCCGAAGCCTACTGTCGCACGCGCTCACATCGTTTAGCGTAATAATTTAGCCTTCCGAAGCCTACTGTCGCACGCACGCTCGTTGTTTATCGTAATAATTTAGCCTTCGGAAGCCTACTGTCGCACGTGCACTCGTTATTTATCGTAATAATTTAGCCTAACGAAGCCTACTGTCGCACGCACACTCGTTGTTTATCGTAATAATTTAGCCTTCCCAAGCCTACTGTCGCACGCACACTCGTTGTTTATCGTAATAATTTAGCCTTCCGAAGCCTACTGTCGCACGTGCACTCGTTATTTATCGTAATAATTTAGCCTAACGAAGCCTACTGTCGCACGCACACTCGTTGTTTATCGTAATAATTTAGCCTTCCGAAGCCTACTGTCGCACGCACGCTCGTTGTTTATC